AGGAACGGAGAGCAAGATAATCATCACTTTTTCAGATTTAAAAGACTTAATATTATACATTGAAAGACTCTTGATTATTACACAAATACAATTCATGCATTTTATTATGCGAAATCTTCATTTATGGTCGAACTCTGCAGCTTATAGAATTGAGACTTACCAAGGAAAACCATCCAGGTTTTTGTTGAAAATGCAAACAGTAGCATCCCAGCGATTTGGCTTACAAAACCAAGACGCGTTACGTTGATTTCGTTGAAGCATTTCCTCAATAAGTAAATAAAAATGACACTTCCAGCGCCTAACGCAAAGAACCGGTATGCCAGAAAGTACCCAACTAGAGTTGGTTGCCAGCATAAGGGACTACGCAGAACATACAGAATAATCACAGCTGATAAACCAACCGTAATCATGATGTTGGTTCCAAGGATGGACAAAGCCACAACCAGGTTTTTTCGACCGTTTTTCCTTGGTTTGGTAACTATCTGCAACAATCTCCGGACGCTATTTAGATCGAAGAAATTGGCTTTGACCTTCTCTTTGACAGACTCTTTGACAAACAAGATGGTGTAGAGGCAGGCGAGGGACTGGAGGCTAACGATGAACCACAATGGATTTTTGAAGCCAAGATATTCTATCCAAAGACCACTTGTTAGCTGAGCGATGGTTCCAGCCAAAAACAGAGAAAAGTTTAAAACAACTGAGAAATAAACAATTGAAAACAAATTATGGTTACAGCTGCAACAATACAGCGCCGACGATCAGGCAAGCGAGGCACTTGCCTCGGTAAAATTTTATCGAGTTGTCTTTAATTCGTATCCAAAATAAAAAAAGTTCGATCAATGGTGTATTAAAGATAAAAAAAATCACAATAGACCACAATACGCTTGGCAAAACGCTGCAAATCACGTTTCCGAGTATCTGAATTTCAAAATGTTTCGGGGAAGCATGCCCGCGAACCCCCTAGATTCGACCGCTTCCGCCGGTCGTGTTAAGTGCCTTAACATTTTCCTCTGGCTACGGCGCTGCAATATTAGATGAAAATTGCTGAAAGGATTTTGCAAAAAATGTTAGACTTCCGCAAGTTCCATCCAAATGTTTAAGTTGAAGATGACTGCGCTGCAGAGCATTTCTCTTATAAGAAATTAATTAAAGAACTGAGAGTTGGAATTAAAGAATCGAAGTTATATCGTCTGATTTAAAAAAGTAATTGAAATTGAAAGGAGCAAATGAAGTGACATCATCCTAGAATTGATTTCATATGCACGCCCTTGATGTGCACCACATGGAATGCTGTAGTAGTACGTGAAAAAGAGCTTAGAAAGGTTTTTTTTTTTAGAAGCTTCAACTTCAACTGAAAAGAAATTTCGAGCATGAAGATTCAAATTCATCGCTATGTATTACCTAACTATATATAACAACTCCAAACCTAAACAGAGATCAATTCGCTTCACGAAATCTTATATAATTCCTTGCTTTTCATTTTGACAAATTAAGACCTCAAAGCTTACTATTCTTGATCACTTCAGCCAAACACAAAGCAAACATTGAAGAATGTATAGATAGGCCAATTCCTGCGTTCACGTTCATTTGAATTATTTTACTCAGAGAAGCACTTACTAGCATGTCTCCTTTTGACTGAGAATAACTCGGAAGGGGTTATATATCATCCGGAATTATCAAATTATTAAAAATCATCTCCCGGATTATCCCTATATAGACAAACGTTTTCTATGGGTAACATTAATACACTGCATGTATAACTACATACTCATTCGGTTAGAGAGTTTGTCTTTTTTCACGGTATCAGCCAGGTAGGAATTCAGTGCAAGCCATAGTGTCGTAACATATCCACTCAGACCATTCACCACGCCTCCAATGAACAGCATGTAAAGTGGTAAATGAAAATATATGATGACCAAAATAAGACATGTCTCGAAAAGGCCCGCGAGAAGAGGTGCCATTAGTACAGGCTTTCTTCCTCTTTTATCAGAGTAGGATCCATAGAAGGGACCGACGATAAGACTTGGAATAACAGCACAAACCATATAGTAGGTATAAAGTGTTGCAGAGCGGGTTTGGACCTAACATGAAAATAAACCAACTAAAAAACGACTAAAAAACGAAAGTTTTTTAGTTAGTTTGTTCAACTGATTGTGTATTAGTGCAGTTTTGGTTTTGTTGTATTTCTCATTTACAAAAACCACTTATGGAAATATAGCATTGTTTCAAAGATTGTATATTCAGAACCATTAATACTATTATGTCTAAACAATGATTATGTAATATGGCGGCAATAATTTACTCAGTTCCATCAATACAAGCAACAATAAGTGACTTTAAACTGCATCAATCAAACTATAAAACAACATTTTTCGTTACCTCTGTTTCAAGTGTTTTCAAAGTCGAATTCTCGGCGAAATCCTCGCCACCACATCTCTCCCCTCCTGTTACATTCAGGTATGGGAATCCAACGTCTTCGCTGATTCGTGCATAAACGTATTGAGCCATAACAGGAAAAAGAAGCAACAGATAATGCATATAAACGAAGAAAACGGGCTCTACGTAGCTAAATTGTTTCCAAACAAAACCCATTTTGGCAAAGGTCTCTAAAAAAACAATGTTATGTGATAAATAACTGCGTTTCTTACATAGACGAGACACGTCCACTTAGAAGACCAACATCGTTGCTGTTCAAGTGAGATGTTTCTCGCTTTACATCTGATTTCTCTAACTGATGCACAACGTCAAAAAAACATTTGTATGCTCAGCAAAGCACGCGTGCTGACTGGCTTGCAAAGAAGAACTAATGCATTTCTCGGGAAGGATTTTTTAGTTGTAATAACATTTCCTAACATTGAACCATTGCAGCGCTAGACATGATGCTATTCGGGAATGACCTTTTTCGTCTTTCTTTAACAAATACTGCCAATATTTATGACATCAAAAAATAGCAAAGGCATAAGATATACTTTTCAGCTACGTAAATAATCAGCCCCCACAGCGTAGAGATGACAGCTACTTGACCTACTTGAATTGATCTTCTTGACAAATAGTGTCTCGGTTGAAAAAATTTTAGGTAAAACCAACCGTACGTTCAAATTGCCTGCATGTTATCTTTCTCGATATTGCAGTATATTCAACCAAAAACAGTGGTTCACATTTGCAATCAAGGTCTAGGGTTATACAGCTAAACAGGGATTTTATTATTAACTTGTTAACGGTATAGAATGTAACATTAAAGTTTCTTTCTCTATGAAGCAGTTTAAATCAACTACGATACACTGAATACAGTTATATCAGCAGTACTCAATTCATGGTTGTAGTCAAATATAGCTCAAGGTCCGTTATTAAAGCAATCAAAATAGAATTAAGACAACTAATCATAAGATGCGGTGTACTCACGCATTACAGGAATGACAAGAGAGGTCGACTTTAGCTTTTAACGTTCAACTTACATTTGACCACTTAAAACGCCGTTTAACTGCACGATGAGTATGTTAGTATAAAGACCTCTAGATTACGTATGAATTAATAAGTGAAATGCTTGGATTAATTCATGCATGAAATTCCATGTTAATTTAAAAATCGCACAACATGATATGACCTATCATGTGACTTAATAGTAACGCAACAATTCATGCACTCTTTCGCGACGTCGTCACAGCGGTTTTCATGTGAATCATTCAGCAAAATCTTCTTTTTCTTCGTAAATTGGACGACAGATTTTATATTTTTCAAATATCTTTTTAAAAGCAGAGTATATTTTGTACACTTTTAACCTCCCCCCCCCCCTTTTCTTTGACATCCATCAAAGAAAATAAGTTTTTGATAACGCGTTAATCCTGGTACAGTGAAACGGTATTTCTACTATTTTTACGGTATTTCGTATGAAAATATTACCCTGTCTAAGACACACAAAAAATTATATCGGTCTTTTATCTAAATTGTAGAGCATGTTTAAGACAATTTTGTGTGAAATGTATACCCTGTTTAAGACAGCAAGGCCAAAAACCATACCCTGGCCAGCGGCACGTTCCGGTATAACAAATATATGGGAGTAATGAAYGCCTGACAGAAGATCAGATTTCTTARTGTTCTTTTAAGTCTGCCCTTTCGTTCCGTGACAGTACTGTAGTACTGTTTCATTGTAGCGTGACCAATTTGCAGTGACGTCATTCCGTACAACAAACCATGATGGGAGTGGTTCTAGTCATAGTACTATCAGCCGTAGTTTAGAGCCGGTTGGCAAATTTCGATCGCTGAATTCCCTTGTCTATTTTTATTTACGAGGGGGCAAAAATTTAAAAATGGCTTTAAAAATCAATCTTTATTCATAAAACTGTTTATACTTATTAAAGAAAAAAGAAAAGAAAGAGAAAGTCTTGAAAAGTCTCAAGAAATGAAGTAGAAAAAAATTAAGCCTTCATGAGGGCTCAAACCGCGAACCACGCAATACTTTGACATCGCCGTGAAAGCAACACAACTGTTGAGCCTGGGCGCCCTGTGGTACTATCACGCTAAACCTTTTGCACAAAAMCTCGTCGCAACACTTGCCTATTCAAGATCGATTGCTGGCAGTAACAGGCAAGGATTTTTATAATTCTGTTGATTGTCTTGACGTCTCATTTGATGAACAGAGTCCTTGAACGGATCCTTGACTTAAGTTGATCCAAAATATTCAGTCTTTTCAGTTCAATTTCTAACATAAAGTTCTCTAAACCACCTTTTTCTACTGCATGYTAATTGTATTATATAAATAAAGATCTTTAAATCCTAAAAGTGTTCGTTTTCTCCATTCATCCATATCTCATAATTATGATTAATTATAAAATTATAATYTAATTATTATTATTAATTTAATTTAATTATAAATCATAATTTATGCTGCGTCATCCGGAGATCTGACAGTGCTCCTAATGCATAATGTCCCGAACAGCTAAAAAGTATTTCAGTTATGTATATACATTATTAGTATTTCAGCTCTGATTGATTTGGGCAAATTACATAAATTCGTTAGAATCATTAAGTGACTCCCTCGACATATGAAAAGTAAAATCAGAGAAGTCGTTCCACCATAGTTAATAGAGCTATGCTTCAACCGTTTCATCAATCTTTGGTAAAAAAGTAAAATATATTCAAAAGAATTCATAATGATCCATATTATAAACCTACATTATAATTCTTTAGGAATTCTAGGATAGTTTGGAGCTTATAGATTTTTTTGTYATTATCATGAGGCCGTACTTGGCCGAATGGAGCATCAACTCGTTGTTAACTAGACCGAGTGGTCTAATATTTTAGCATCCATAAAACTATAGGCTGARATAAGATCATGAAGAACAATTTTCTCGTCATTTTTTCGACTATTCAGTTTTCCCAGTTCGATGGCACCTTAGTCTAACACGAATACACCATAGTTCAGTTACCAATCAGAATGCTGAATTTGTCATCCCATAGTTTGGTGGATACTAATAAGGGTTCATAGATTAGTGGTAGTTCGGCATTACAATGTATTTGCACTAGTATTGTTAGTGAAAGGGAAAGCAACAGGAGACACAATTAAAAGATTTTTTCCTTTTCTCAAAAGTAAGAAACAAATAAATTATATACGAACAGTAACAGTTAAACGATATTACATCATGGCGGCCGATACTGAGATGGTGATTCTCTGATAGCTAATTGACTAACCTATTAATAAAAACGAACAAGCTGACATGTAATCATTATTATTAAGTTGTTTGTTCTCTTCTTTTTCTATAATAAATCATAAGATTTTGAAAATATTGAAAACTGAAAACGTTTGTCAATAACTTATCGATATTGTGTTTGGTAAGAGTGTTGCCCAGGCATTGTTTAACAATACATGTAACTGGGTGAATCTTTTCACAGACTTGGTTTTCCTCGGGTGAGCCTCCAACAGCTTTAACATCTAAACTCCATTGTAAAAGAAGGATATCTTCTTCACTTATGTGTATGTCATTGCTATTTGGTAAATTGAAGTCTAAAGTCCAAATATTGCTCCTCGTTGAAGTTCCTTTAATGGTTATTGACTCTTTTTCATTGACTTGGAAGTTAAATATTAATTGCTCAGTATCGTCGATGAATTTCCAAAAAACCTGCTTCACTCGAAGAGTCAACTGCATCAAAACTTTTCCAGCTTCGTCCATATTCTGCTTGGCACAACTTCTCATTTGGTGTATTAAAAATTGTGATTCGTAATCGAGAATTCTAAGACTTTTGTTTTTCGTAAGGTTATTGCAGTGTTTAAGCAGTTCCTCCATTTTATTAATGCTCACAGATTCTCCTATTGTTTTAATTAAAGACTGACTTTTCTTAAAACGACTCAGGGCGCTTGCGATCGATTGAAGGCTGAATTTCTTGTTTTTTGATGGGTCTTTGAAAAGTACTATTTCTTCGCTATGACTACAGTGAAGAGAGGCTGGATAGCGACACAACCATAGAACGAATTCTTCTGTTATTGGAGGCTCGGTCTCCCCTATGGTGTCTTGAAGAAAGTCTGTTACTGGCTGCAAAATAAAGGATAATCTTCTTCTTTCGCSGTTACTCCAGTCCGTTGAACACTCTGGTCCAATACAATTCAAAGTGATATTGTAAAGTTCATTGTTATCGTTGAACACTTTGACATTCAGCTTCCATTCACAGCTATCTTTATTGTAAGTATGCGCGGTTATTTTTACTTTGTCGGGATTGTTTGGGGGACATATATACCATTCTTTGAGTATATTTGGYTGTACAATCCCTTTATTTGTCCAGCAGTACATCAGCTCATCAAGACTTACATCAATCCAAGTGAAAACCTCGGCCGCGACAGGTCCTTTCTTTTCCCATACATTAAACACATTGGTGTAGTTGGGAATAGCAAGTCTGAAAGTCGCAGCAAGTTTGAAAGCTTCTTTAAAGCCAGGCCATACGGAACTTGCTTGTGATAAACCTGGTATGTATTCGTTCAGTATAAAGTGTATGCCATAAAATTCAAGTTTCCTTGTTTTAACACTGTCATGCCAGACATGAGGATTCAGTAGGGAAATGAAGTAGAAGCGTTTACAACAAAGAACAAAGCTGTAAAACCAGTGAAAATCGTCCAAATAAGACAAAATTGTGGTTAAACAGTCGTCATTTAACGAGAAAATACACGAATGCTCCATGTTTTTGACATGCTTTGCTGAATGCTGTCCTCACTCACTTAACATTGAAGTAGATACACAGGGACCCCAACCATGAATGAATTACATGAAATCAGATCAGCAAAGACATGACTTCTTAAGGATTGTCACTGCATAATCCTTTATCTTTATAATCTTTTTTGTAAAAAGAAATGGAAAATAACAACTTTTTCATGAAAAGTAACTTTTAACAATCTAAAAATAACATCAAAAAGCTATTTTTGAAGTACTCGATGACGGTTGATTAATCACACACATCAATCACTCAGACTGTATTCGCTAGAATGGTGTCGTGTCCAAAARTTAAATGCGGAAGAAGTAGCAAAGTAGGAAAAAGGGATTAAGAGGAAAATGTAAGAAATGAAAAACACTATGAAATCAACCAAGYAAAACGACCAATGAAATAAGCATAATTGTTGGATTACTGAAAAGGTAGATTTATAAATGCAACACAAAAATAATAATTAAAACATTAAAAATAAGATGTGCATAACAATGCTTCTGTTTCCTGTATGCGGCACCAATACTAATCAATCCTAATTCAGAAGATATGGAATTTCCCTACACAAACGTACGGAAAGGTCAGAGCTGATCTTGATGTTATCCACCCACAATCCATTGCTTTCGTTGCTAAAACAATGGATTTCTTTGCCTTCGCCTTCAAAAATKGTATTCGTCACTTTTACCTTCATGCATATCGGGCGCTAACTATAAATATTCACCACACGAGGTATCGTTCTCTTCTTCTTTATATTTAGTAAATAAACCCCTTCTGGCGGCTGGGATATCGGCTGATAATATCTGATAATACTCGTCCACCGAAAATGCAGCACGTGATGCCTTTGGACCAATGGATTCGCGTGAATATATATTGTTGGGATATAATGTGAATTATACCATATCGCAGCCACGGCCGTGAACTCTTCTASTTGTATATCTTATTTTCTCTACTCGCTTATTTTGATTGAATATCAGCACTTTATATAGAAAATGCTTATTAATTTAATGGCTATTCAAACACGTGCAATGGATATGTTGATTCTTTTATGTAGATATGCAAAAATATTGTTACCATCATAACAGAAAGTTGATAAAGCGTGTCACGTTGTAACCAACTTGTGCCTAGTTAYATATCTGATGACCTCAAAATTATACTGAAGAATCACAAAGGCTGAAATTTTTGAGAGCCACCACATATAGGCTTATCGCAAAAATCACGTACACCTATATACTTGCAGAAACGTTGTCATAGAAAAAATAACATTTGAATTTAGTAAAAAGGAATAAATTAAAACAAGACAAAAGGARGCGTTCAGCCTCAGTGATCTTCTTTTGTCTTTTTCTATGTCCTATTTYTTATGACAACGTTTTCGCAAGTACGTGTATATCTTGGCAGGCAAGGCTCGAAGGATTAAATCATTTTACTAATGATTTCACAACATCAATTACAGCAAAGGGCACATGTCAACCCTGCAYAGAGAGTTTAGTAAATAACAAAAAACAACGCCTTCCTTTTGTCCTCTTTATCCCTTTTCAATCCTTAAATGTATTGTTTCTATTATGCATGAACCTTACAGTATTACTACCTCAATCCTACTGCATTTATATTAAGTAACAATGCGCGCAAAAAGCAGGCAACCTTCTATTGTTCTGCGGCAATTGCAACTTCCCCACATACGAATGTCTTGGTTTTCACACTGATTATATATCAACCTATGGGTAAAACATTTTTAAAATAAAATGTGGATAAACTCTGTTTTGAAACAAAGTTT